ATTTGAAGCTTTCACTGCTAGGCTGTATTGCTGCGATAAAAATGAATGTATTGCCTAGAATGTTGTTTTTGTTTCAAACATTGCAAATTGTGGACAAAATGGATTGTTTTAAGAAGTGGCAGAAAGACATCTCTAGATTTGTCTGGCAGGGCAAGAAGCCTAGAATAAAATTTAAAATATTAACGGATGCAAAGGAAAGAGGTGGATTTGCCCTGCCAGACCTTAAACTTTATTATAAATCAGCAGCTTTTTGCTGGTTGAAGGAATGGCTGCTTCTGGAAAACACAGACATTTTGGACTTAGAAGGTTTTAACAATGTATTTGGGTGGCATACATACTTGTGGTATGATAAGGTCAAAGCACATAAAGCATTTAAAAACCATATTGTCAGGAAAGCATTGTTTAATGTTTGGATAAGATATAAGGATATACTTGAAAATAAAACTCCAAGATGGCTGTCACCGATGGAAGCGAAGGCTCTGAAAAAGCTCAATATGGAGGCCAAGTGGCCGAAATATTGGGAAATTATGGAACAAGAGGGGGACAAATTGAAATTGCAGAGTTTTGAAAAATTAAAAAACAAAGTGCGAGATTGGCTTCGTTATTATCAAATAATGGAGGCGAGGAGGTCCGGAAATAAGCAAATGAAAGATAAGTAACGGAAAGATTAAGTTGTTTTTAATTATTTTTATTTTGTATTTTTCTTTTTTCTTTTTTCATTTTGTTATATTTCGAAAATTTTAATAAATATCATTTAAAAAAAAATAAATATTTATTGTTTATTTAAAGAACACCTTCTCCAACTTTGTGGTTATCCCCCTCATAAAGATCCCCTACAGGTATTCAGGGATAGTTAGGTTTTGTTCTTAAGCCTTCAGCTCAAAGGTTGTTTGATGAGGTGGGGACAATATATTTAAGTGAGAGCGGACACATGGACGTGAGCAGTAACTGAGGTGCCAAGTTTGTCACAACTACCGTTTCCAAGTTGTTGCTGTTCTCCATCATGCTTTGTGTGGATCTGATACCCCATTGGTCTATTGATGCTATAATCCAGTGTCCCCACTTCTTCGTAAGGCAAGGATGCTATCCAGAATAGCTGCCACCATTCAGTTAATATGATGGCAAACTATGTCTCATCAGTGTTACATAAGTGGGAGGGTGATGGATACCACAGTACTAACAAATTAAGAAGCGGGGAAAGGATGGGACCAGCTCAACTCTAGACATCCTGCTGACCTTGTAGGTTCATTCCTTGCCTATGATTTTGTGATGTTACAAATATAATTACATTGGCAGATCTGGCTTCCTGTCTACCAGCTGCAGTAATAGATGCTTTTGGGTTCAACATCTGTGGTCTGGATTCAGACCATTCCTCCTAGGCTGGAAAAAAATGGTGAACACTGCTTTTTTACTGGAAGCCAAACACAGGACAAAGTGATGAAGTGACTTTATAAACTGTGGGATAACCGCTTCTCCCAGGGCATGATGGGAAATATCAACAGTTGCAGGAATGAAGGATACAGCACCATATATGGAAAGGAAAACATCATGGGGGGAACTTGTCACACGCAGGAAAGAATAAGGACTACACTTAGAGTTCCTCAATTCAAACTTTATAAATTACCTAATATATACCAACACAAATAGAAATCACAAGACTGTAGCTGTTATCTAAGAGATTACTATATGTGGATAGAATGCAATGGAAATTATTAACATAGTGGAACACAGAAATAATGAAGAAGAATGAAGCCATCAAAACTAGCATGCAAGGGGAAACTTTTAATTAAATCATATAATTTGACATTTGAAACATTGGCATTCATAATTGCATTATTTGGATAAAATTGGTATTGTTATATTGAGGTTGCTATTGGAACAATATTGGTAAATCAATAAGAATATATATTTAAAAATTAATAATAGTAATGTTTTGGCAGTTCCTCTACTGCTGATGCGCCACAGAATCCAAAAACACTGCACAAGTGATTCTCTCCCCTATCATTACTCAAATTACAATAATCAAACTACCTGACTGAACCGCCAAATGCCAGAGTGGAAAAAAAGATTCAACAAGCAAGCCTGAAATGATTATAACCTTCTCTGTGCTCTATAGACAACTAGGCTGGACTCTGTTACTTATCAGTTATCAGTTTCCCTCTTTCACATCAAACCACTGCATCTTATTTGGCATCCAAGCATTCTGTTGTGACAATGTTCAAGCTACCAATAAGGTGGATACACGTCCCTTACAGTGCCAAATTGACAGAATCAGCTACCACCCAATTTGTCTTGTTCAGATCAGGTGGAGGAGAGGAATAATACTGTCGAGAGAAGCAGGGGAGTCCATGCCCACAAGGGTATTTGCCATCAGGATGTTGCTCCTGCTGCTCCCCAATATAGTGTCCCAAGGACAAAGCGCTCAATGCGCAACAAATCATCCTGTTCATGTTCCACACGAGTGGCATGAGCCAGGTGACCTGGTCATTGGTGCCATGGTATCTCACATCTATTACATAGTCCCCAAATTATCCTTCAAGAAACACCCTTCCCAGGACTTCATTGATGCGCCACTGTAAGTAACCGTTAACTAATATTATTTAATTATTCCTTATATGCTATATCTGACTAAAAATAACTTTGATTGATTGGGGAGGAAGATAGTTTAGAACTTTATTTTTTAAATGTGTGGAGAGATTTTATTAGAAATCTCTGTGCATATAGGCTATGTGCATACTGTCAATGAACAATAAGCTTTTTTTGAGTCAAATTGTATAAAGAGAGATAGGGAAGAGAGTAGGAGAAAGAGAAAAGAGATGGCATAAAAAATAGGGAAAGCATATAGCAAAGTAGTATGGTACTCAACTTTTTTGATGATACTCAAATTTTCAAGGTGGTGAAAACAAACACGGGTTGCTGAAGATATGAAGAAACAGCTTTTTTAATTACACAGTATTCTTAGATTGCCCAAATAAGTAAGTAAACTTCGCTGACTTCATGCTCTCTTTATAAGCAGGCAGGTGAATCTCTCCTATCTAGATTCTGTGCACTGTTTAATTTCCCTATCAAACAAAATCTCACTTCATTTGTAGGGTTTTGACAAAGTTCTACCAGCAAATCCTGGCTTTGGTCTTTGCTGTTGATGAGATCAACGAGAATCCCAGGATGTTGCCCAATGTCTCTCTCGGCTTCCACATCTATGATAGCTATTATGATTCAAAGATGACCTACCGAAACACTCTGGACCTGCTCTTTAAATCACGTCAATTTGTTCCCAGCTACAGGTGTGGCATCCAGAAAAATGTCATAGGAGCCATTGGGGGACTCAGCTCTGATACCTCCTGGTGCATGGCAAACGTCTTAGGTCTTTTCAAGATTCCACAGGTAGAATATGGATTTGAAAAACAGAGATGTCATGCTTTCCTTGCATTAGGAATCTACTGATTCATATATCTGGAGTGGGAAAATGGACAAAGTAAAAGAGGCATAATATGCATACCCAACAATGTGTGTAAGAAGGGACCGTATCTGTTTAATAGATGTAATAGAAGTTTTCTCTAAAGCTGCCAGGTTTGTAAAGGAGGCACCTAGACTGGTTCATATACATCAATCCTGAATGCACTGCACTGGCTTCCTGTGAGCTACTGAATATATGACATGGGCACTGGATTCATAAGCAAAAATTGCTGAAAATACATTAACAAAAAATGTTCCTCCCCTTAAAAATTAAGATAGTCCTTTCCCAAAGTATGATGTTACTCAACATTGTTCACTTTCAGAGGCTAATTGGAAACACTGTTTTCTTGCTATTGTTCTGGCATTTGTCACTTTAGAGCGTTATATAGTGGTGTCAGCATTGTGCTATTCTGCTGCATTGCTGTATTTCATTTAGTTGTTTTAAATAGTGCTGGTACAGTATTTTATATTTTACTGATATTTTATATGATTTGGTTTATAGTGCTCAGAGAAGAATAGCATATACAGTGGTACCTCGGGTTACATACGCTCCAGGTTACATATGCTTCAGGTTACAGACTCCGCTAACCCAGAAATAGTGCTTCAGGTTAAGAACTTTGCTTCAGGATGAGAACAGAAATCATGCAGAGGTGGCACAGCAGAAGCAGGAGGCCCCATTAGCTAAAGTGGTGCTTCAGGTTAAGAACAGTTTCAGGTTAAGAACGTACCTCCAGAACGAATTAAGTACTTAACCCGAGGTACCACTTTGGACTTTTTGAGTCTTCCATTTAGGATATTAACACGAACGATGATAAATGCTCCTCTCTACTTGGAGACAATCAGTCTGTACAATTATAAAGCTGGGATGATGCCATAATAATAACAATAAATAAATATCTACAGAAACCAAGAGCAAGATTATATCTGTTTTTCTATGTAATTTGGTACATTTGGGATATATATTCAGTGTGTGTGTGTGTGTGTGTGTGTGTGTGTGTGTTTATATACAAATATTTTGGGATATGATGATTTCTTGTTTTCCAGATTTCATATGGTTCATTTGAACCAGCCATAAATTATGGAACCAAGTTCCCTTCCTTTTACCGCATGGTCCCCAATGAAGACCTTCAGTATCAGGGAATTATCCGGTTACTTCTGCATTTCAGATGGAAATGGGTTGGGCTCATGACTCCAGCTAATGAAGCTGGAGAACGTTTCTTACAGACAGTTGAGCCAATGCTTTTCAAGAATGGAATCTGTTCAGCATTCACAGAAAGAGTGGAACTCAATATAATTTATAACAGTAACCAACTGCATGACTCAAGGATCTGGTTACCAATTTTCACAACCAGCAGAACCAATGTAGTTCTTGTATATGGAGAAAGTAGATTTAGTATATGGTTGTCAGCTGCTTTAAGCACAATGGAGTTATCTCAGCTACTATTTCCTCAAAAGAAGTCACGTGAAGGTAAAGTATGGATTACAACTACCCAAATTGATTTCATATTATATAGCCTTCAAAAATTTACTGTTAATATACGAATGTTCCATGGTGCTATCTCCTTTGCAATTCACTCCAAGGAGATTCACAACTTTAAAGACTTTCTTCAGAGTGTATATCCTCATTGGACAGAGACAGATGGTTTTATCCAAGATTTCTGGGAAGATGCATTCAGTTGTTCGCTTCCAAATTCCAATCTCTCAAAAACTGTGTGTACTGGAGAGGAGATGCTGGAGAGCCTTCCTGCACCATATTTTGAAATGAGCATGACTGGCCACAGCTACAGTATCTATAATGCTGTCTATGCTTTGGCACATGCCTTAAGTAGCATGCACTTGGCTGGAACCATCCGCAACAGAAGAGATGCTAAGGGAAAACTCTCTCCTCAATATGTAGATCCTTGGCAGGTATTGTTCCCTGTTACAAAGCATTCACTGCATTGGTACATTATGTGAGTTGGCATTTAATCAGCAGTAAAGAAATAAAAGAATAAAACTTAAGAAATTAAAAATAAACCTTAAGTAAATTTATCAAAGATGGGAATTAGAATATTTCCTATAATGCTACTAAACAGACTTTAGATGACATAAGGAAAAAACTACACATAACTGAAGCTGTGCCAACCACCTTCTCCATACTGAAAACCCCTCCATTTTCTATCCACGTCCCTCACCAATTTTCAGTCTCTCTTACCTGTCCAGTTACCCAGTGGTATAAGGTTGGGGGCCCCGGCGCATAATTATAAGGGAGCACAACCAGGACCCCAACCCCCAGGCACTGCCTTTTGCAGGGATCCTCATATCAAAGAGAAAAGAAAATAGCAGCCCATCAGAGAGCTGCCTCTACCTGGGCACCTCCTGGAAGGCCTTCTCCCCAACTCCTCATCTTTCCCTGTATGGCCACTACATTGGAGGTTCTGCAGCCTCACTGATAGGTCCCCAGAAGAGGCTAGCAATTGTGTGATCACTGTCTCTAGACTCTGCTTTTCTCCTTTCTCCTCCTCTGCCTCTTAGTCTGGATTTCAGTCTGGCGCATCCTCTTCCTGCTCCCTTAACCCTGTTGCCTCTTCTGTATCTGAAAGCTCTTCCTCCCAGTCTGCTCCCTCTTCTCCCACTGACCACTCCTTGTCATCCCACCACCAATCCCCTGGCTCTGAGCCTCCTTTCCTTGGGGCGTCCCTTTCGGGTTCTCCATCTGCTGCTCCCTACTACTTCTCTGCATCCAACATCCAACCATGCTCAAATCCACTCTATAAACTATGGAAAGGTCCAGTCCGATGTTCTCATACTGCATTCCTATCCTTTAAGAATATAAGCTACCATCTCTTCTCATACATAACTTCTCAAATCCCTTCCCTTTCTTGGATCTTGACAAAGGCTGGTCTCAAGCAAGCAGGTCTATCGTCTCATCTCTCCATAATATCTTGATACAAGTCTGTTGAATGTTGAATCATCACTGATTCATGATTTCCTACTCATCCTGTATGGGCAACTAAAATATGGATGCTCTCCATTGTGAACTGAAGCGTTTAACCTCGATTCTCTTTCCACTTAGCTCCACTCATTCCTGCAGAGAATCTCATTCAACAACAGTGCTGGGGATGAAATTGCATTAAATGAATATGGAGAGTTAGCAGCTGGCTTTGATATTACCAACTTGGTCACTTTCCCAAATAATTCCTATGTCAGAGTCAAAGTGGGCAGCTTGGATCCTCAGGCCCCTCCGGGCAAAGAGCTCACCATTAATGAAGACAGAATCAAATGGCACAGACGATTCACTAAGGTATGGAAATAATGGCAGAGTCCCTGAAAACACAGAATTTGTGGTTATCCACGAAATGGGATGCAACAAAAGCACTTCACACATTATTCATTTTGAAATTCACTAGCACTTGAAAGCACTTCAGACTAGTGATGAGTTAGAATAGAGGAGTGCTCCCAGACCTCTTGCTTCAAACAGAATGCAACTCCTCCCAGAACCGGTCAGGCATAGGAACCCAAAGCATTTCTCTCTGAGACAGGATGTGGCCTAACAGGAAACCACAACCCAAAAGTCATGAAATGATTTCCTATTGCTAGTTTCTTGTACTGACCCTGCAGGTAGGAGCAGAACCACTATAATGGCTTACCTTTAATTCCTTGTGCCACCACAATGGAACACCATGTGAACTCCTTGAAGCAAATGCCGTTAAGTGGTGACTCCATCAAAAGGCCAAGCCAGGGGTGAAATCACACCGAATTCTAAGACAGCTGTAAGGTTGGATGGTCCAGGCATGAATACTGACATCTTCTTAAGTTTGTATGATGCTTAGAACAGCAGCTTTTTACCCCACTGTAGGTACCACTTGTGTACCTACAGATCATTTCACACTATTAGTCTTCCTATTTACTATTAAATCACCTGATATTTGATATTGGATAAATTCCCCAAAACAATATCATAATATTAAACTCTTCCTATCTCTTTGCATAGGTGCCACCGCTTTCTCTATGTAATGCCAACTGCCATCCTGGTTACGGGAAGAAAAAGAAGGAGGGGAGATGTTTTGCTGCTATGATTGTGATCCATGTCCAGAAGGAATGATTTCAAATGAGAAAGGTTAGAGATGACATCTTAAGATACTGCAGAACCTCTGGGCTCCTGGCAATTTTGTTGACATTAAACTGCTGCAGGAGAAAAGGCTTAAATTAACAGATGTGTTCTTCTCATTGTTTATAGATAACACCAATATATTTTAATCTTTAAAACATCTTGAAGATTTCCTAAGTGGAAGCTAAGATATTTTACCTCCAACTTTGACAAAATTAGGGTGTTTTCTCCTCTAAGTATTAGATTGTTTGACAATAGGGGGAAAGTCTTATCAAACTCACTTTTCTAAGATCCAAGAATTTCAGCTGTAATGCATTTCTCATTTTGTTGTACTGTTTATGTGGCTCTAAGAAAAAGCAGGGAGACAATAAAAAAAAAGATGTCACCCATGTAGAAAATTCCAGAATGGATACACGCGTTTTATTTTTGATACACCTAGTACAAAAGCATTGGGGCTTGAAGCTCTTATACATTCTGATGTACAAAACACTATGCTAAATGGACTAGTGATGAGGAAATTCTTAAGAATACTTATGGTTACTTCAAATTGTCACACACTGTTTGTGTATTTTCAGACATAGAAACATGTGTCAGTTGCCCAGCAGATCAGTATCCAAACAGCGGCCAGGATCTATGCATTCCTAAGATTCCAAACTTCCTAGCCTTTGATGAAACCTTGGCCATTGTTTCAACTTTTTTTGCACTTTTATTCTCTCTGATCACAATTCTAGTGCTCGGCATCTTCATTAAGCATCGCGATACAGCCATAGTCAAAGCCAACAACAGAAGCCTCACTCTATGGTCTCCTTATCTCCCTCCTCTTGTGTTTCCTCTCTTCTTTGTTGTTCATTGGAAAACCTAATAAGGTGACTTGCCTTCTCCGACAAACTGCTTTTGGCATTGTCTTCTCTGTGGCCCTCTCCAGCATCTTAGCCAAAACCATATTGGTGGTTTTGGCATTCATGGCTACCAAACCAGGATCCAATATGAGGAAATGGGTAGGCAAAGAACTGGCTTATTCCATTGTCTTTTCCTGCTCCATTGTTCAAGTAGGAATCTGTGTCCTCTGGCTGGCAACCTCTCCCCCATTCCCAGATGTGGACATGCACTCAATGCCTGAAGAAATCATATTTCTATGTAATGAAGGGTCAGTCTCCATGTTCTATTGTGTTTTGGGCTACATGGGATTCCTGGCCACTATCAGCTTCATGGTGGCCTTCGTGGCCAGGAAGTTGCCTGACACTTTCAACGAAGCCAAGTTCATCACCTTCAGCATGCTGGTCTTCTGCAGTGTTTGGCTCTCCTTCATTCCAACCTACCTGAGCACCAGAGGAAAATACATGGTGGCTGTGGAGATCTTCTCCATCTTTGCTTCTGGTGCTGGGTTGCTGGGTTGCATTTTCACCCCTAAATGCTACATTATTGTGGTGAGGCCTGACCTGAATAACAAAGAGCAGCTAACACCAAAGAAAGGTATAAATGACAGAAAAAGTTGTGGTTCTGTTGGATCTGAGGCTACATGGACTTGCTAGAGGGTATAAATTTCCAGGTCCCTACTCTGGATCTTTGTAGAGTTTGCTTCTTAACTTTTTTGTTTGCCAAAGATGTTCCAAAGGCAGCGGGTACAGATTTTTCCTCAGGTTCTACTCCCAAAGCCTTTTTCACAAATGAGTAATGCTGTAATACAATGGAGATTTTGGTTCAAAGTTTCCTTCTCCTAGGTGGGCTCCTTTCCAAGGTTTACGAGACCCATCTGCCCCTCATTTCCCTCTACAGCACCTCCAGTAGCCACCTTTTTAAACATTGGGCCCACTTTTGCTCTCATCTGCTATATCCCGTCTTTGCATGCAGAGAAATCCCCCAACTCAGTGAGGATTTGAGGCCCATTGGCTGCCTTCACCTGATTTAGGGAGCCGGTTGAATCATTTTCATGGGATGTGGGTTCTTTTGCAAGCTGACAACTTCTAGGAGCCACAGGTGAGAACTGAGTGCAGGGTGGGCATCAGAGGTAGACAAACTACCCTAGAAGGAGCACGACTTGTTCCCTGCTAGAGTTACTACCCCTCCCTAACACTCCATACACCCCTGTCATGTATTACTGTATATTTAAAGCAAATGGAATCTTAATAGCAAAACTCTCAGCCTTTTCATTTAGAAATGGTTCATTTCAGTTGTTCAGTGTTGTACATGTACTGTATGAATGATTTTTAATAAAAAGTCTCTTATCAATTACTTCATGGAATCTGCAAATTTATCTTGAAGACAACACAGAAACAAAAAAAAATTGTGAAATAGTTAAGGGCTCTACATTCTTTATCTCTCTCACACAAGGCAGCTGAGGAATAGAAGAAGGAGAAGTTTAAAAAAGCCATTTCCCTTGATTTTTAAATAGTTTTAACAAAGAAAAGTAGCAGAGATATGCAACAATATCTGGAGGAAAACATTATTTCTGTTATAATAATTTTTATTAATTTACAATTACCAACTTGTAAATAAGGAACTGGAGGGGCTTCAGACACAGTATGCCACACTCCAAACTGACGCAGCAAACTCTCACACCATTTTGCCCAGGTCTGATAGTTGTGCCGATTTAACTTTGGGCACTCAGCAGCCTCAGAAGCCTGGAAAAACTCCATTCCAGGTTTCTACTTGAGCCGTGAATCTTATTCACTTCAGAGACGTCTTATCTTGGCAGCCATAAATCTTGAGGCCTTTGGCGCGGCTCCCAGATCCAATTAGGCCTGCCGGACATCAAAGGGACTTTGCCGCGGCAACGAAAAGCCTCACTTTCGCTTTTCCTCCACATACCTTTCAGCAGTCTGTCGCAGTCTTACTCTCCTGTAAGTGCTGTGAATCTGGGCCCGAAACCTGTTGTTGGGATACTGCCAGGGAGATAAAGTCCATCAAGGCCCCCAAGCCGTCTGCCGGACGATCCATCGACCTCCCGTAGGCACGCAGTATCAACAATTAGCGACATGAGTTTCTAGAAGATATCTTGCCACATTCTAGAGCTCATGCACGCTCTACCAGCAATTAGCACAGCCAAAAGTTGCACTCAGGAGAGCATTATTTACAAGTTTATTCAGCGTTGATCAGAACACAGAAAAACATGACTGCCTGCTGATTTAGTGTCTGCGACAACAGAGAGAAAACGAAAGCAATAGCAAAACATAACATCCTGTGAACAGGAAATACGCAGACTCTGACTCACAAAGCCTGCTCCCTTTTAAGGTGGAACGGAAATATCCTAACACATAGATGATGCCTTCCTGGAACAGATGGCCAAGCATGCAAAAGGAAGGGAGATAGTAGTAATGGGGGACTTCAATTACCCGGATATTTGTTGGATGTCAAACTCAGGGGGAGTGATTTTGGCAATATTGCATTTGTGGTAACCGATAGAGCACCGTGCTGGGAATATCAGCCATACAGTTTTGAGGGCACTGCAAAATTAAGGTTTCTGCTGCAAAATAATTGCAAATTTTATCATAGGTTTGGAGGGGATCCCAAATAATGGAATTTTACAGCTGTATAGGACAATTCTTTTTAAAAGACCTGTGCTGAGTAGGGAACTAAACACAGTTTCTCCTATTCTCTGAAACTGCTTTCCTGCTATAGATAGGTGATTCCCCTTTCTCTATGTAATGACCACTGCCACCCTGGCAATCAGAAGAAAAAGAAAGAAGGAGAAAAGTTTTGCTGCTATGGTTGTGCTCCATGTTCAGAAGGGGAAATTTCAAACCAGGATGGTAAGCTATGTAGCACTCATATTTTTCATCCTATGAGGACAATGGCAAGAATAGACAGTACCATTTGAGGGGGTTATTCTAGATCAAAAAGTGGGTAAGGGGCAAGATAATGACAATGTATAAAACTAGGCAAGGCATTGAGAAATCAGATAAAGGGGGGGGAATACCCGTCTCTAATACCATGAGAGCTCAGGGGCATCTAATGAAATCGAAAGTTGGATGATTCAGAACAAACAGAAGAAAATTATCTTCTTCATGCAGCACATGATTAAACGATGAAATTTCCACCCACAAGAGGTCAGGATAGACATGGACATGGAACACTTTAAAAGAATTTTTAAAGAATTTTAGACACTCAGGGAGGAGAAGGCTATCAATGGTTATGAACTCTGCTCTGCCTCCATGGTCAGAAGCTGTATCATTCCAGATACCAGTTCCTGGGAAGTGTGAGGGGTCAAGGGAGACTTCTGTTTCACTCAGGTTCTGCTTGCTGGATCCCCATAGGCATCTGGTTGGCCACAGAGAGAAAAGGAAGCTGAATGAGATGGGTCATTGGCCTGATTAAGCTGACTCTTATGTTCTTATCCAAAAAAGAAATACAATGTCAGTGAAGCAGTCACATAAAAGACAACGTACTGTTCAATCAGTATTGAAATTTGACCTTGTTTATTTTTCAGATATGACTAATTGCTTCAGATGCCCAAAAGCTCAGTATCCAAACAAGAACAAAACTGCCTGCATTGAGAAAACAATGACTTTCCTTTCTTATGAAGAACCTTTAGGGATTAGTTTAGCATCAGTTGCCCTTTCTTTCTTCCTCATCACAGCTTTGGTGCTTGGAATATTCATTAAGTACAGAGACACTCCCATAGACAAAGCCAACAACCAAGACCTCACCTACTCTCTCCTTGTCTCTCTCCTGCTCTGCTTCCTCTCTTCACTGTTATTTCTGGGTGAACCTAGCACAGTTTCCTGCCTCCTCCGGCAACCAACGTGTGGCATCATCTTCTCTGTAGCCATTTCTTGTGTGTTGGCCAAAACTATCACTGTGATTCTAGCTTTCATGGCCACCAAGCCAGGGTCCAGCATGAGGAAGTGGATAAGGAAAAAAATGACAAATTCCATTGTCTTTTCCTGTTCTCTTATTCAAGCAACAATTTGTACTGCATGGTTGATGACATCTCCACCCTTTCCTGA